GCTACAGATAGTAACTGTAGACTGCTCCAGAAGTAATGCCTCCTATTTTATTACGTAGGCCCAGGACATTGGAGACAGATGTCGGTGTGGCGGCTGTAGGGGTTGAACCCTTCCACCCACAAGCATGCAGGTTCTTGTTCATCACTGCCGAATGCATATAGCTAATGGTAGTGACTATACTGAAGAACAGTCATTTGCAGCTGAGAATTTGCTCTATCACTGTTATTGTGCTTTTTGTATCTGTTGCCGTTTCCGGGAAAATAAATAGGAGGCATTACTTTCAGAATGACCTACGTACAATGAACAAAGGATTACAGTCCAACTGCCAAGAATAGCTCCTTTCCAAATTCAGTACACAGCAAATACCAAATATCTATAATTATTTATTATATGAAAAATCTCAATAGTTAATAGATAATGCAGTCAACATCCATTATAATTAATAGCTTTAGAATATTTATTAGTTTATTGTATAATAGTTCTTACTCAATAAACAAATGGCTACTTTCATACAAATGTGTAATGGTAACTGAACCAAAAATAGTAGTCAATTTACATACAGCAACAGTCCAAAAAAGCAGTAATTTCATGAAGTAATATCACTGCAGCTACAGGATAAATTAAGTATCTCTTCAATGAAAGCTGGCATAGACTGAAGTCTAAGGTCATAAAGTTTTCTACCGAATGCTGTGGAGGCTATTAACACCTGATTTAAGATGTGCGTGTTTGTATTTTGACTTCCCCATAAATACACACACAGTGTCTCAAATACGAATACATATTTTCCTCAGCAAAGCATCTCCCTAAACAAAAGCGATGGAAGAGATTTTTAAACCTTAGATTTGGACAAGCTCCTTTATGTCCTCTCCTCCTATCTCCTTCCAAAACTGGATGTTTTAAAGTGAAATTTGTCCTGAAAACTCCTCCATAATGAGTAAAATTCTGCTATGCTGAAATAGTATGCATCACAACTGTATCATTCTTAAATATTTAATAACAATACATACACTTAAAGAGACTGGAAGCCTAAAATCATTAGATGTCCTCGCACGATAAAAAGGAGGCATGCATTTCTCTGCAAGTGTAATTTCAAAATCCTTTCACAAAAGAATCTAAAGACTTGTCAGCTTGGTTACTCTGCTGCTGTATATTAAATAAGCGTGTAATGAAGCTACCGGTTTTGATTCATTGAGATGCCAAAGATCATGGGTAAAGCATATGAAATTAATGAATGTTTTTGAAAGTGGAATATCAAGAAGGCAGTACAAATCAGGTACAGCATCAAAAAGAACAAAATAATGACAAAAAGAAACCACAGAAAATCCAGCACCACTTCATTTTAGTGACCATTAAGAACAACAATAAGGCATGAATGTCATTTAAAACTGATTGCCACATCCAAAAAGACTATCAAATACTTCACACACCATCAGTCCAGGGCATCACAATACTGTTCTTATTAACAGAACACCAATTTCCAGTCTTAATATAAACTGAATGAAAATTGAGCCTTGTATGTTACCTAGTGCTTTCTAACATGCATTCATTGTCTCTGTTTTTCAGATAAGACTTGTACATTAATCCAGCGAATCAGTTAAGACAGTACCTAATTTTCAGTACTTGCATAATACCATTAAAGTGAACAGGACAAATAAGTCAGTGTGCAATGATTTCCTAATACCTTCCGAGGCCAACATCAGATCCTTAGAAACTTAAAGCCTTCACAAATCTGTGCAAATGCTAAGGATAAAAAAAAAATTAAAAAAACCTTCAGAAGAATGAATTTAAATGCTTTTGACTATTGATACCCTAAGTCACAGTCTTATTTTGATTCAATAACAGGCAGCACTACAGCGCAAATACAGAAAATCTGTACTTTGGAATATTGATAGACAGGAAGCTGATGAAAGGAGTTCCTCGGCTAGATGCATTACACTGCTAGTTTGGTGAGTTGTAACAGGAGTATTAGGTAACACCTAATGGAGAAAAACACATTTTGATTAACATCAAAAGGTTCTAGTTGCGAGATGCAAATAAACATTTTCTCTATTTTTGCCCACAAGATTACAAACAGCTTCTTTACCTATTCAAAAACAGTCTTTTCTGCCATCCTGAACTACCTACCCTTTCTGAAGGTAACCTCAGCCCTCCAGGTCCAATACTAAAGTACTGGTCCAATACAATTCAAGTATTACATTTTACTGAATATGCACTTAGGATCCATTTATGGTGCAGGATTTCCCTTATAAGTGCCTGAATTACGAACAGGAGACTTCTTTTAAGCAGCAAGCGTCCAATCTGTCCCTCGTAGGCATGCAATCAAAATACATAGCTGTTAAATCTATGCCTGATTCACCCCACCCCAACCTCCTTAATGAAGGACTGCTGCAGAAGCTCTTTCAGGTGCTGAGTCATTAATATACTGGCCTCTGAGACAGCAAGAAAACTGCTTTTACTCAGCAGTAAAACCACATCAACTGGAGAGTCATGAACAGGACCAGTTCCAACTTGCAGAGACAACCAACAAAAGCATGGGAATCAAGTTCAACTAAAGCAAGTTGCAATTTTACTAGTAAAACTTAAAACTGCTGAAGGTTGTGAAGCAGTTCCTTATATCCTCATTTTATACTTACTTTGTGTGACCAAATATAATTCATTAAAAACTTCTTCAAGGTGTGCATCTTCGCCTACTGCTAATGGGAATAGCAAAGCAATAAAAACATACAAACCTCTAAGAATAGTTGAAATATAAGTGCAAAGAATCCATGCTAAAATAAACAAGATGTTTAAGCTATAATTAAAACAAAAAAGATGATGAAAATACGGATGATATTGGGAAACACAAAGATCATGTAAAAGAATGAACAATAATGCACAAAATAAAAACACTGTTTATAGACTGGCACCAAATTCATTGGGAATAAGAAGGTCATACTTCAGTAAAATTGCAATACTACAACTTGAGCTGTAGAAGTCAACACAAGTTTTGTCACCGACTTAATAATCAATACTTGGGCCACTTAGCAACAAACATTCCTGATTTGTTTGAAGCTATTAATATGCACACATTCTATACACAAATCCATTGACAAGGCTGAAAACTGGCAATATTTTCAACTTTCTGAGAAAGACAGTTATATCTACTTGTGTAATTTTATGTATTTGTGATGGAAATAAATTATCTGTAATCACAGTGGAGAAGAAAGAATGACATTTACAAAATTCAGTAATTCTATTTACTGCAAGTGCACAAAAGGATTCGTGTGACAGATGACAAAATGAATATGACAGGATTATACGTTGTAACTGTGAAACTGCAAATCCTATAAAGTACACACGCAGTTGTAATATGCAAGACAAGGGGATAATCCTATTCCCAACCTGAAATTATATGAGTTGACCCAAGCCATTGTTTCCACTATCATTCTTACATCCTCCAATTTTCCCAAAATGTAAAAGCATTAACTTGGCCACTAATAAAGTCAATAGAAGCTGCAAGCATAAAATTCCAAGGCTATCAACCTAAATTTTTGACTACTACAACAGCTTTATTTAACACCCTTCTCACTGCAGTAGGACCTAGAGATACACACCTAACAGTGCTAACAGAATGACAGAAAGTTGAATGCCTGAAAAATGGACTCAAGCAAAAAAACTTTTGTGTAAGAAATAAAAATGAAACAGGTAGGCTTTACAGTTTTCAGGTGTTGCTGTATTTTCTAGGATTCCCCAAGATTATAATAACAATATAGCATTAATACACAGAGCACGTTTTGAAGAGTTTTAATAAGAACTGACTTAAGAAGTGCTATACAGCTGAAACTAACAACTGCCCAAACATTACCAACCCATCTTCAAAAGCAGGGGGAAAAAACACACAAACCAAAGGAACACAGCTGAAGGTCTCCTACTAAGTGCCAGAACTGAGAAGTGAACTGAACTGGGCTTTGTGAGCACACCGCACCTAGCGCTCAAAGGCAGCACAGCAATGTGCACACACAGTTTCTTTCCAGCACACAGAATGCAACTTTTAAAAGCAGAAATGGTTCCCCACCATCAATCAAAGATCTAAGAACACTGAGAAAAACTAAAAATGCATTTGAGGGGAAATTTGAAGGCAGGTTATGAAATCAAGGCAGCTTCTACGTGCTAGAGATAACAGACATCCTGCCCTGAGGAAAAAGGTTAAGTGTTTCATGCACTTTTTCTACCAGGCATTTCTGTGACTCAATTTAAAAGTAAGCAGCCAAGATCTCAGGACGTATTCCAGAATGTTTTATTTGAATCACTGACATCCAGCATTCAGAAATAAATTATTGGGAAACCTGCCTACAGATAACCCGTTGTGTGCAGCTCTTTGAACTGTACTTCGTATTCGCCTCTTTTTAACATCATCATCATTTAAAGTTAACTACGAACATCCCCAGAAGGATCACTTAAAGCAGTTCTTTTTCTCCTTTCTTCAGAGCAAGCACAGCTTGCAGCTGACCACCTCGGAGCTCAACACCTCGCACTATTTCATTTTTTTTTCCCTAAAAAAAGGCAACTAAACTGTGTTGCCATCCCGTCTCCCGTTACATTCCAGTCGTTTCTCCGGGGATTCATTGCGAACTTGCAGAGCAGAGCCGTGCCTCGGCCACGTGCCGTCCTCCGGAGCACGAGGGGCTGCGCGCACCTCTCCCACCCCCACCGCCCCACGCGAGGGGCCGAGCCCAGCAATCTGAGATTTCCCAGCCAGGAAACCAGCGCGAAACACATCCAAAAACTTTCAGAGCATCCAGCTCGGAGGAAAAAGTGGGGAACAAGGGAGCGGGGAGGCAGCCCGAAAGCCAGCGCGGGGCGGGTTAACGCTGCAGGGCAGCGCTCAGCCCTGGGGCACGGCGCACACAACGGCACGGCGCTTCCCACCCAGCTCTCATCAGCAGCCACCCCCACCTTTTCCTCCCGCTGGAAAACCCAGCGGCTACCCGGAAGGAAATGAACACAAAATGGAGACTTACTCTCCGTCTCCTAGCACGCATGCGTCACTCCGGCGGAAAGGGCTGTGCCGACGGCGGCTCGCAGCAGCTGAGGGGCGGGTCGGTGCTCGGCGGCCGCCGCGTGAGGTGTTCGGGCGGCTGCGCGCGGCTGTCCGTCAGCCTGAGCGGCTGGCAGCCTCGTGCCCGCTGTTGCGGGTATAGAAGCGGTGCTTTTGGTGCACGCTGGAGATAGCTTCGGTCGTGTTGAAATGCTGTCGGTTTTGCTTTCTGCTGGCGGTTTTCTTTTCTCTGCGGTGATAGTGAGGCTCCGTGCAGGCAGTGCTGATTTCCCAGCTGAATTTGCTATCAGTGCTACTCGGTTGTGCATCGGAGCCGCAGAAGGCAGCCAGCAGCAGCAGCCCGCTCCGGAGCAGCGCCTCCAGCTCTGCCATCAGCTCTGCTGTGAAGGAGTTGTCCCACCAACCTTTTCCTAAAGGGAAGAAACCTGGTCGGCAGCTGTCTTTGTTTCTCTTGATCCGGGTGTTTGTAGTGAAGACAAGGCCTGACAGTAAAGCAAAGCTGCTTCGGTCTGTAGAATTGGTCCTCAGCCCGGTATCTGAGAAAGTTCTCTTTCTTAGACAGATAATTTAATGTATATGAACTGTAGATGAATGAAGCTGCTGAACATTACTGTCAAATGGCAGCGCTTTGGGCAATCAGATATGCTGGCCTCAAGCCCAAAACCTTGAACTTTATTTTATATTCCAAAGGAAATGAGTAGAACCAATAGAAGATAAACTTGATATATTTGCTGGAGCCAATACAGTATTAATGAATACTGCCACAAACAATGGCCAGTATTCCAAGCATCATAGCTTCTTATTTTACTTACAATGAAGACAACGTTGTCACCTACCCATACCTGTGATGCCAAGTGCCCTTATTACTAATACGAGGAGAGCCAAGATTCCCTTTGATGCCACTCTCACGGATGGGGCCTCAGTGTCTGTACTTCCATACAGCAAGGAGTCCCCTGCCTAATCCCCAAAATCACTGCACGCAGAAATGACAGTTTTAATTCCCCCTGCTGTTACACATTCTGCTAGTCCTTCATGACTGCACAGTGACAGCTCCCTTGTGTCAACTGCCAGCAGAGCTACCCCAGATAGGTCCCTTTTACAGTGCATATACCTGTCTTGTAGGATTATGCAACTGATAATCCACTGCTGGCAGCTTTTCTTGACGTATATCTACTTGGTTCTGAGAAACATAGTAAGTATTCATTTTGTTTACAAAGGCAAATGCTGTGTATACCCATATCTGGTACAAGTATTTTGCTAGTACTGGATTGCTTTTATACAATTGTTAATGATTATCTTTTGCATTTAGAGCCTGGATGACATACAGCTCTTTCCCCCAGATTATGAGGTTATCACAAATTCTAATTTATTTGTAGTAAATTTTGACTCTCTGAAGATTACTGTGTACTTTCTAGAAGTCCTAACAAGAGTTCCTAGTGTTGTTAATGACATTACAGTTGTGCATTGATTTTATTACCTTGCACTGATTTGATAGTTTTCCTCGTGTCTTATTGATCCCACTGAACTAAGTTAATATATACAGCAGGCAAATAGCAGAGATTCTATTTCTCCAAATTGACTCAATTTGTCATAAAGGAAAACAAATAAAGTGAAGTCAGTCACTTCAACAGCTTAATCAGAATCACCTCACTGCCTTTAAGTTATTTGACTTTTCTGGTCATCCCACCCTGCAAGGATCTCACATTTCCCTTTGTGATATGCTCTACTGCCATTAATTGTTAAGGAGACTGTATCACTGGTAAATGCAAATATTGTCAGTCTTAACCTCTTCATAGACAGTTTCACTGCCATTGTCAAGTGGAATACCATTCAAATCAAGAGGTAGTGTGTGAGATCTGCTCTTCAGCCCTGATGAAAACGTGCTCATTTATAATTTTATGCAGGTTGCCTCTCATTTTCTACTCAGTATTTTAAAGCACTGGTCAAATATATTCTCTCTTTTGAGAACTTGCAAGCAAGCAAAGATAAAGATTTAAGACTGTTTTGTTGTCCCAGGCAGTACTGTGAACACAAACGCTGTACTGAAGCATATGCTGAATAGAAATTAGCCTTCAGAAAAGCAGCACGTCAGAAAATCAGATTAAGTTTGTCAGAAAGTTTTAAAACTAACAAAAGAAGGAAGAGCCCTGAATATTTTTCGACAGTGTTGAAAACAAACTGCACGTCCTAATCTCTTCAAAGAGCTCTAGTCATAATTCTCAATTTCTACCATTGCAATCTGTCTGTAACCAGAGATTATGTGTTACATAAATATGTGCAACTGCTAAAATATGTAAAAAGCAGATGAAGAGGTGGGTTTCTGCTGGAGCAGAAGCTTTTGCTTACCAAAAAATAGCTTTAATATTCTGCTATTAACAGAAAAAAACAAATGCAATACATAAGCAAAAGTGAAGTGTGTTTCTAGATAATCTGTCTCTAACATTCAACTGAGCATGAAATCTCTTGACTAAAAAATGAGTAGAGATCCCAGGAAAATATTCTTTCAGCTCACTGCTGCTTATTTGTTCTAGGGGACAGAGTGCTTTCTTCATTTAGACTGCTTTATACTCATGCAGAAACAAAACTTTTTTTCTCCCTCTAATCCATAGCAGAAAGAGCCCTTAATATCTTGTCAGTCTTGCAGCTTCAGTAAGTCAAGTCCTTATAAAAGCTGTTCTACCTGCAGAGTGATGCATGAGAGCCTGTCTGGCTCTGTGCTGCGCAGAGACTGTAGTTTATTTTTCAGTAAATTCTGTTGCTTCCACTTTGAAACTACTTTTATCTTAAACTGCAAGTCCTAAAGCTATGATGCTACAAACTACTCATTTTCAAACAAGCTGTCCTTTGTCTTATACCTTAACATTTATTGTGTATGCAAGAAGTGGGAACATTGTAGTTCTGAAGGAGTAACGATGTTGATAGTAATTAAAATTAGTGAATCGATATCTTGAAGTTTAATCATTCTTCATTTTTGTGTTTAACCAGTCAGGCAGCACTTCAGGCAGCAAGTACAGCAAGTACCACGCAGCCCTTCGTTCCCTCCCCCTCAGTAGGATGGGAGAGAGAACTGGAAAAAAGCTAAACCTCGTGGGCTGAGGTAAAGACAGTTTAATAGGATAGAAAAGGAAGGGAATAATAATAATAGTAATAATAGAAGAACGTACAAAACAAGTGGTGCACAATGCAGTTGCTCAACAACTGCTGTCCAATTCTCTGCCACATCCTGAGCAGCAGAAGCCTCCTGGTTCCTTCTTCATTATTGATGCAGGTTTACTCTTACTAGCTATTTTCTTGAAACCACTGGTCAACATCTACTTCTTTAAGAGCAATTGGCCATTTTATCTAACTCACTATTAGTCATTTCTCTTTTAGTCAAAAATGGGAGCTGTATTCATGGTTTTGGCAGAGTAAGAATGATACTGCATCTTATCAAAACAGCCCCTTCTGTGAAACCAGTCATTAATTCCTCCCTGGTAGCTTGTCATCGCCAGATGTCTGCTGAGTTTACACCCTGAGCATTTCCCGTGGCTGGACCCACGAAGCTTCTACAAATGATTCTGTCTTTTCAATAGGAGCACCCCACTCTTTTATGAACTTTCCTCTTCACTACCTCAGCAGCTGCAGCTGCTGACCACAGAACTGCAACCTCTCTTTAAGTTACACCTTGTCTAGATTGAAGGAGTCTACAAACAGCGTAAGAAAATAGGGTCACTTTTACTTTAAGGGTAGGGTTTCATCACTTAAGATTTCAGCAAGTGGGTTTTGTACAAAATGTAATGAGAAGTATTCTACATCCAATACAGAAAAAAAAAAAAGAAAAAAAAAACAACAATTCCAGGCTTATAACAAGTAGAGTACAAAATGTTTTTGTTTTTCATAAGAAATGCTGGCAGTGAAGTCTAACCTTGCCAATAATAAAGCATATCTGAAGGAGGACTCACACTTATATCTAAGCGTGAGGAGAAGCGTAGGCACATTTCCCTCCAGAAATCTGCACTCGCTGAGCATGATCATCAGCAGTAGATGCAATTAGCTATGTCCAATTTACATTTTGAGCACAAGGGACAAGCTTTCACAGCATGTTTAATGTGGTGAATACAACAAACTGCACAATGCAGTTTCTCAGTTCAATGGGAAACTTTACAAAATATACGGGCAAGGTATAATTACAGCATGCCACGTATAACATTTCAAAAGGATAATTGAAACAACACTCATCTTGAAAAATAAACTGGTTTATTGATGTGGGGTCATAGGTATGTATTATACTATACAAACAATAACTAAAATATAAATGCCAATTTTCAAATCAGCACAGCAGGATAATGTATATAAATTTTAGGAACAACAACCAAAAAGTAAAACCAACCCTGAACAACAATAGCAACAACAAAAAATACAAAATAAGCCCTAAATGGCAATCATTTGGATAACTGATAAAGAAAAATGACAAATTTGGAGAACTGTTAATATTTTTCAAACTCACAAGGGTTCTTTTATCTGTTCTTGTTCTTGTTCTGTGTGGCCATTGAGGCTTGCAGGAAGCCAGCCCATTAGTCAGAGAACTTTGTAGCACAGCAGGGAGTCTGGTTTGTCATCACACGCAGTAGCAGCTGCCTTCATCAAGAATGAAGTTAATCAGTACAGACTAAATAAAGTATCTAATTCTTTAGATGGCTAAGAATGAACTTTGAATGAACAAAGAGCAGTCCTAGCTTACTGATACTTGGAAAGTTCTCATTCAAATGTGCTGATTTTGTGGTTTGAAACTAAAGAACAATGACATTCCTTAGTGTATGATTGTTTTACCCAAGTATTTCCAGTAAGTGAAGATACTCAGTTTACATAAGTGCTGTGTAACTGTTGTAAGGGCTGCACAACTGTTGTAAGGGCTACATCCAGACTTGGGTTCTCATCATCTTTCTTCATCTTCTTCCAGTTTGTTCTTAATTATTTCAAGCAGGTATCTTAGCCAGGTCAGATCTGAGAAATCCAAGGCATAAAAATAATAAGAAGTGCAAGACACTAAAAGATAAAGACTTTGAAAGCATGTTTCTTCATATGGAAAACTGAGACATGCTGTGCTTAGTTACTATGTTGAACATGTGGTCAATAAGGGTTTTCCCACTTTGGAATGTGTCTCTAGCCTGAAAATACAGATAGCAGGAGTTTAAACTGCCCCCATGGACATAAATGAAGGACAACCACAAAAGATTAGTTTTCTCACACTTCATTCCTTCCTCAAAAGATCTGGAGTGGATGAATTTAGTACAACAGAACTATGTACTATAGAAGTACGTAATATTCATAAAGAGCTGTTGTATCAGCATTCAATTTTGAGAAGAAAGCACACCTCAGAAAGCTAACTGGTTTGTAATTCCAAAGATCATATTAAAAAAATGAAGAAAGACTTATACTGACGCTCTGGTTTAAAGGAATACCTGTTAATTGTTTGCATTATTAAATGACCTTAATAACTGTATCACTCAGCCCGTGTTGCAAACATAGGCTACTGGAAAAGGACAGACTGAGTGAGCTGAATCACGGCTATAGGAATTGTACATATTTTAGACGTGATGGTTCTTCAGAATGCTGCTTGCCTGAGCACACAAAGAGGCTTTTCCAAAGATAACATAAATGTGGTATCACAGATAAGTGATTAATATCCTCAGTGACTGCTAATAACAGAATAACTGTGAAAGATGGAAAAAGAAATGGCTTTGTAAATACTTTATTATTTTCCTAATTCATGTGGTAATAGCTCATTACCTCTTTTCAAAAACAAGAAGAACATTTTTCTGTTTGTTTCAGGTTTTATTTTAGTTCTTTCAGCAAGGCTTGTAAAAGAAATTAAAATGCACATAGTGCCTTAGTAAGTAATACAACTTTAAGCAAAATCCTTTTAATACAAAATGAGCTCACTCTTTATCACAAAAAAGAAAGGCGAGGAAGATCTCATACATTACAGAAAAGTCATTTAGTCTTCAAAATCTGCTGGGCAATTTTGTGAGGAACCACTGCAACTAAAATACATATAATTAAATACAGAAGTAAAGGCTGGACAGCATGTATGTTAACTTCAAAAGTTGTTAAACAACGGCTGTGGATGTTAATAGAAAAACCATTCATGTCGTGGTGCTATAAGGGGCATATATATCAAAGTGGAGTACTTGCTGATAGATGAAGGGAAAATTACTTTTGTTTTGGCACATGGCATGACATGGCATGTCAAAAGAATTTAGATGATGTTTTCAAATTGTACAAAGTATATTATTCATGAAGTTCTGTGCTCTACTAGGAAGGAAGAAACAAAAGGCAGCAAAGTGGCAGGATGCTGAGCACTGAAGGCACATAGGTAAGCACTGATACAAACTCTGTTCTTTTACAAGTTACCTCTGGTCTCCACACACAGGCTTTGTGTGAGGAGAATGGCTCATATGGACTCAGATAAAATCTCAGATTTCTTATAAAAAGTGCTTTCATATTGATAAGCCTTAAATTATATTTTCCTCT